CTGAACAACCCAGGGATTAGGGATGCTGACCACTCACACAGTTGAAAATCCACATATAACTTTTGACTCCCCCCAAACTTAAATACCATAGCCTGTTGCTGACTGAAGCCTTACCGATTACTAGTAAGTTAAAATGTATTTTGCGTATTATATGTATTATGCACTACATTCTTATAATAAAGCTAAATAAAATCAGAAGAAAGAGAAAATACATTTACAATGCTGTAGTTTATGTACTGTACAGTATTTACAGAAAAAAAAATCCACATATAAGTGGACTTGTGCAGTTCAAACCCATGTTGTTCAAGGGTCAACTGTACATATGATTTCCTTTATTGCCCTGTTAAATGTATCTCCACTATTTTTTTCAGTGCTAATTCCAGGACAGGGGACATTTCTGCAAACATCTTCCTAAAAGGACTGATAGTAAATACTTAAGACTTTTGGGCCACATTGTCTCTGTTACAACTACCCAACTCTACCAGTATAGTGCAAAGGCAGCCACAAACATGCATCTATGAATGACTGTGGTTGCGTTCCAGAACTTTACTTACAAAACAGGCAGCTGGCCCAAGGGCTGTAGTTTGCTGAGTTTGCTGATTCTACCTGACAAAATTATGCTGCTTCCTGTATAGTGTTAAGAAGATTACAACAATATACTTCCACTCTTCCCCTTCTTATCCTTTGTGCTATTATCATAAATTTTGATTCTTCGTATATTATAAATTCATTTTACATTGTTACTATTTTAAATAATCATCTTCTTAAAGAAAGTACCTAAATGATAAAAATGTCCTTTATATTTTACCTATGTATTTACTATTTTAGGCTCTTCACCTCTTTGTATAAATCTGCATTTCCATCTGGTATTCTTTTTCTACTTGAAAAACATCCCTTGACATTTGTTGCAATGTAAATCTCCTAGAAGCAAATTCTCTCAGCTTTTGCCTAAAAAAGATCTTTAGGGGCACCTGAGTGGCTCAGTCGGTTAAGCATCTGACTTTGGTTCAGGTCATGATCTCACGGTCCATGGGTTTGAGCCTCATGTTGGGCTGTGTGCTGAGAGCTCAGAACCTGGAGCCTACTTTGGATTCTGTGTCTCCCTCTCTCTCTGCCTCTCCCCACCTCATGCTCTGTCTCTGTCTCTCAAAAATAATAAACATTAAAATAAATTTTAAGATATTTAATTCGTACTCATTTTTAAATATTATTCTCACAGAATAAAGGATCTTAGTTGGAAAGGTTTCTTTCAACATTTTAAAGATGTCATTCCATATATGTCTTCAGTTTGCAATGTGTGATAAGCAGTCAGCAGTTTTTCTTACAATATTTACTTCCCTGTATGTAAATGTATATTCTTTTCTATGGCTTTTTATTTTTAAGGACTTTATTTTTAAGTAATCTCTACATTCAAAGTGGGGCTCAAGCTCACAATCCCAAGATTCAATGCTCCACCAATGGAGCTAGCCAGGTGCCCCTCTATGGCTGCTTTTCTGATGTTCTCATTTCCAGTAATTTGATTTTTTAATATGTCCTGGTATGATTTTATGTTTATCCTGCTCAAGTTTCACTGAGCTTCTTAGGTTATGGGTTAAAATTTTTCTTCATATCTTAAAATTTTGGAAACATTACTCTTTCAAACATTTTTTTCTACTTTCCTTCCTCCTTGGAATCCAATTGTTTTCTTTATTTTCGTTCTTTCCGGTTAGATTTGGATTGTTTCTATTCTTCTACTGTCCCTTATTCAAGTTTACTCATGTTATCTTCTGCAATAACTAATTTGCTCTTAAGTCTCTCCATTAAATTTTCCAATTCAGAAAATGTACTTTTCATAGTTAATAAGTTACATCTGGGTCTTTATTATAATTTCTATTCTCTCCTGTTTGTTTTCATGTTTTTCTGTAACTCTTTGAACATATTAATGATAGTTGTTTTAAAGTCCTTGTGTACTAATGCCTGTAATTTTTGGTTCTGTTTCTGATCACATTTTTATCTTTTTATCATCCAGTAATGTTTTTTGAATGTTAGACATTCAAATGTAACATTACTAGATATTTACATTGCTGAGTATCTGCATTCTGTGTCTTCCTTTAATAAATATTATTGAGTTTTATTTTGACAGGGAGCTAATTTACTTGAAATCACTTTGATCTTTCTCAAGCTTCATTTTTCAGCTTTATAAAGGAAGGCTTGGAGTAGTCTTTACTCTAGGGTAAGGTCAACCTACTCCTAGCATGTTGGGATCTCGACCAAGTGTAATTCCTTACAGTTGTTCAATTTATAGTTTCTCCAGTAGTTTGTCTTTCTCTAGTAGTTGTCTAATAGAATCTCACCCTATGCATCCAACAGATGAGTATTCAGCTAAAACTCAAGGCAACCTCTGTCCAGATTATCTGGAGCTTTTTCTCAGTGTAATCCTCTCCTCTCAGGTACTCTGCCCTAAGTCCAGATACCTCACCCTCCCTAAACTTTGACTTGTCTCTTCAACTCAGCAAGACTGCTATGTACTTCTTACTCTTCTTGAGATCCCCTTCCTCTGTGCCATACCTAAAATTTTGCCACCAGCCAAAAAAAAAAAACCAAAAAACAAACAAACAAACCCATTAGGGAAATCACAGAGAGATTTAGAGAGACAATTCTTTCATATATTTTGCAAGTAGTCTAGTTGGAAATCAGTTATTCCATCACAGCTGGAAGTTAAAATCTCTATTTACTTTTTCCACTAAGTTTCAAAGTTTTCATTTAGACATTTAGTACTTTAATATATCTGGAGTTTTATACATGATGTGAGATGGAGACCTGACTTCATTTTTTTTCAAATGTACATTTTTTTTTCTGGCTCCAATTATTCACTGGTCTCTACTTTTCCACACTGATTTGAGATTCCACCTCTACTACTTAACAACAAAGTTTCACACGTGTATGGGTCTCTTCCTCAGTATTCAATTTTATTCCTCTGGTCAATTTGTTCATCCTATGCTAAATCACACTCTCAAGTATTATAATCAGTCATAAAATCTTCCAGAGTAAATCCCTCTTTACAGTTTACAATCTTTAGGTGGTCGCTACTTCTTCTTAGCCTTTACTTTTTTGTATAACATTCTCAACCCATCGTGTGGTGTGAATAACCCTGTTGTAATTTATATTGGAATTGCAGTGAACCTACAAATCAATATGAGGAAAATTGGTATTTTTATAATATGAGGTATTATTTTCCACAAATATGGTATATCTCTCCTTTTATTTAAAATCAATCTTCTTTAACATTTCTTCCAAAGTTCTACAATTTTCCTTATTTAACCCTTATAATCCTTTGTTACACTGCTTCTTTCAATACATGGTATTCTTGATACTATTATTAATGATGTCCTCTCTTTCATTACATTTCTGGTAGTCTACTGCTGATATAAAGAAATGCAACCTACTTTCATATATGAATATTGTATCGAGCCACTGCTAAACTCTTATATTTAGCAATCTATAGTCTTGTCCTCTCTATTCATATCACCAATACCTTAGTACAGGCCACTATTGTCAACTGAAACAACTTCTAATTAGTCTCCTAGTCTCTAGGTTTGCACTCCACCCTGGAGTTAAAAATTCTTTTTTTTTTTTTTTTAACTTATTTATTTTAAGTAATGTCTATATCCAACAAGGGGCTCAAACTCATGACCCTGAGATCAAGAGTCACATGCTCTTTCACTGTCTTCTGAGTCAGCTGGGCGCCCCTGGAGTTAAAAATTTTTACTGGTCTTGTTATCTCTCCTTTGTATACACTACTCCTCCTGTCTTCCTATCTCTTTGCAGCCAACCTAACTTCTCCTTATTCTTTTAGCTTCTGATTGCTGTCCTCAAATACTTCCTAGACTAAATTAACTATTCCTTTTATGCTTAATCCTCCTCTATCTCTTATTATTCTCAATTGTTTCTGTCTCCAATTAAACTACAGTTGATCCCTGAACAAACCCTTCAGAGGTCTGAACTGTGTGAGTCCATTTATATGTGGATTTTTTTCCATACATAAACTACAGTACTGTCAATGTATTTTCCTTCCAATTTTCTTAATAACATTTTTTAATCTAGCTTACTTTACTGTAATAATACACTATATGATCATATAACATACAAAATCCATTAATCAACTATTTGTGTTATCAGTAAGGTATCCAGTCAATAGTAGGCTATTAGTAGTTTTGGGGGAGTCAAAAGTTACACGTGGATTTTCAACTGCATGAGGGTCGGCACCCCTACCTACCATGTTGTTCAAGGGTCAAGTTGTATTAACTTTTTGAGAACAAGCTTGTATCTTCATTTCCACATACTCCCAGAACCTACCAGTCTTTAACATGTTAGAAGATTGATACATAACTGTTCAAGAAATGCAAAAATAAAATCTCACTTGTATTTGAAAGATCCCCTGAAATAGAATTGCTTGTCCCACTCTGCAGATGAAGAAATGCACAAATCTGCATTTGTGACTCAAGAAACTCAAGCAACATTACTCTATCTTACTACTTATAGAAGGATGACAAAATACATAATAAATGTTTACCATAAATATAATTTTTCATTTAAATTTGTGTTGTGAATAACTATTTTTAAGAAGGTCAAAAAAAGAGTTTAAAAAAAAAACACAATAGTCACTGGGGCGCCTGGGTGGCTCAGTCAGTTAAGCGACCAGCTCAGGTCATGATCTTAAGATTTGTGGGTTCAAGCCCCGCGTCAAGTTCTGTACTGACAGCTCAGAGCCTGGAGCCTGCTTTGAATTCTGTGTCTCCCTCTCTCTCTGCCTCTCCCCAACTCTGTCTCTTTCAAAAATAAATAAACATTAAAAGAATTTTAAAGAAGTTTTAACTTATAATCATCATCATCATCATCATCAACTCTCCACAGAGGCATAAATCTTTCAGAAATTCCAGAACATATGTTTTTTTAATGCAGGAACACATGCCGAAGACCATTTCCATTTCTTAAATGCAAGCTAGTATTAAAATCCTTACCTGTGTTACTTGCTCTACACCAGTCATCTGGTACTTCCTCATCCTTTCAAATACTGAATGATCTGCACAGCCCCCCTGTGGACCATATTTATGGGGATAGTCTACAACACAAAGAAGCAATGTCATTACTATCACATGCTTGATATTACTAATTACCTGATAAATGAAAAACAATGTCACAATTCATGAAAGCCACCAATGCTTGTTGAGCATTCTCATTTTAAAACCTGGCAGGTTTGTAAGTTTTCCCTCAATAAAATATCACTGGTCTCTAGGTTTTTGTCATATAGATGATTTGTGAATTCTAAAAAAGAACAATAATATTCTTTATTCTAGGTTTAATTTTCCCAACCTTTCCTGCTTCAGATATATAAAGTATGTTAATACTGAAATTTACTTCATTTTGTAATTTATAACATTCCCTCCACATTAAATTTCATATGCTGCACATGTACACCTCAAGCTGAACTACAGTTAGACTAATATAATATTCTACTGGCTTGAATTCCTTCAATGAATACCAACTGGACTCAAGGAAAAGTGATTTAGGAACATGCTCCATGGCATAGTAAAAGCAGACTGAGTTTAAATTTCTTCCATGTGTAATTCAAGTGAATGCTACTAGCCAGGAACAATTTTATCATCATTTGTTTTCCCTTTATAATTAAGCAGTGATTATTTTTAACCGAATTGGTTCTATTTCCAGATAGCTGTTCCATTTTAGTTTAGTCTTTTAAAAGTTTATTCCATTCTCTCAAATTTCATGTACTTCTCCCTTATTAGGGTTCTCCATATTCATGAACATATTTCATAATTTAATCAAGTTACCATAATTAAGAGAACTGTCAAAATAAAAATACCAAGACATGGGTGAGAGGGGAAGCACTGAAAAGTCCTTAAGTAGTTTAAGACATAATACACAGAACTATAATTAGAAATACTGCAGGCAGTTTCTTAAGAAAATCTAGAACCTTGGGGCTCCTGGGTGGCTCAGTTGGTTAAGCCTATGACTCTTGGTTTTGGCTCAGGTCATGACCTCACAGTTTGTGAGATGGAGCCCTGCAACAGGCTCTGCACTGACAGCGTGGAGCCTGCCTGGGATTCTCTCTCTCCCTCTCTACCTGGCCCCTTCCCTCCTCACATTCGTTCTCTCAAAATAAATAAACTTTTTAAAAAAGAAAAAAAAAATCTAGAACCTATAGTGGATACTAGTGGCCTATTTCTTTGGAAATAGTAATAATTTTATTTCAAATTTATTTAAATTCTAGTTAACATATAGTGTAATACTGGTTTCAGGAGCAGAATTAAGCAATTCACCACTTACATATAACACCCAGTGCTCATCATAATACAATACAAAATTTATTTATTTATTTTTTTTTTTTAAATTTTTTTTTTGACATTTATTCATTTCTGAAAGAGAGATAGAGCATGAGTGGGGGAGGGGCAGAGAGAGAGAGGGAGACACAGAATCCAAAGCAGGCTCTAGGCTCCGAGCTATCAGCACAGAGCCCGACGCAGGGCTCGAACTCACCAACTGTGAGATCATGACCTGAGCCAAAGTCGGACGCTCAACCAACTAAGCCACCCAGTTGCCCCAATACAATACAAATTTAAACTGGCAGTTAAGAAGTAGTGGTATGGACAACCTACATTTACTGATATTAATAACTCTGACTTAAACTTTAAATTAGTTTTTTACTAGAGGTCAAGACTGCAAAAGCTGTAAAATTCTAATCAATAAATGTGAGATGATAGACTTAAAAAGGTACCACTTTATAACCTCACATGTATAAAGTGACTTAGGTAAGGATCATCGATGGATACTAAAACCACTAGGTGAAAGATATGAGGTAACAGGATATTCATGGTCACTGAGTGTATCACCCCATAAATTACTTACTAATTATAAAGGAAAAAGATAACTTCACACTAAAGATGTGGTAATGATCACTTCATTTACCAGGTAATGAAGCGAAGCACTACCAGTAGTAGAAAGATATGTGCATCTTGACACAATGCAATAAGGAATGCCCAGCTTTCCCTCTACAGTATTCTTGACAAAATACGCTCATTGAATCTAATCATGAATAAACAATCAAACACACACCAAAATGCAGAATATCCTAAGTCACGGACCTAGACATGTGAAAATCAGCAATGTCACTTAAAGGGGGAAAAAAAACAGAAAAAGTTGAGAACTAAGGGTGGGGAGCCTGGCAACAGAGACACTAAAAAAGACATAATAAACAAATGTCAAAAAGGTATTTTTAGTACAACTGAAAAAATGTTATTCTAGGCTATACAGTATATGGTATTATTGAATTAATGTTAAAATTTTTAGGGGTGAAACACTACTAGCTATTTAGGAAAATGTACATATGCTTAGGGATATGTGTTTTAGGGGATGAATTTACATTTGAAATTTTCAAAATAAAATTAGGACTAAAAGACTGCAATATTGTTGGAACAAACTTAAATGATTTCAAAGTGGAAAACACACAACTGAAGTGCTAAATGAGAAAAAAATTAAAACATTTATTATTTTACCATTTCAAAGTTTGGCTGTGGGAAAATACAATATCATCCAACATGTATCTAATAAGAATCTACCACAAAGGCTGAAAAGTTTTTCAATATGAATATGCCCAGATTTTTAATTCTCACCTTTTAGAATATTTGGGGTTATTATCACCACAATACCATCTTCTGATACTATAATTTTAACCTGAAAATATCCCAATAAGCCTTGCCCAGATTCTTAATGGAATCTAACTTGCCTGAACCACCACGTGAAGAAGTTCCTCCATACCAAGAACACTCATTTTAATAAATAAGGAAAAATTATACAGGCATACTCATAGACAAGTTTATACACATACTTAAACACCTTTTGCAGTTAATAGAATTTAGATCCCTTGAAATTTTGCTCCTTACTTTAATTTTTATTAAAAAGCCAGGTTCAGAGTTTGATATTATTTATAAATCCATAATTTTGTACTATTTTATTTTACTCCCATGCTAGGACAGTCCAGTCTCTAGTAACGAAGAATGTGGACTGATTCTTTGGCTTAGTTTTCCCTGAACTCCTGGCTAAGGAAATGGTTTATCTAAGATAACAATGTGTATAAGGAGGAACCCCTCTGCTGATGACTGTGGCAGCAACTAGGCAGATAAGTAAAAACTGTACTCAGAATTACTGATACACAAAATATTTTGCCATATAAAATGGATGAAACTATACATTTTCAAAAGTTTAGTTTCTGTTCCAATGTGATAAGCAACTAAATTTATGATTCAATTAGTACATTATGTTTTTATTTTTCCATTAATGGGTCAGTGTGTGGTGCCCTAATTTAGATTTGTTTATTAAGTCAGTATTTAAGTTAATAAGAATCTATTTCACCACTTACTTAGGCTAGTTAAATTCAATGAAATAAATATATATTTACCATCTGATGAAATTCTTATAGTTGAATTAAACATCTCCCAAAACATACACAAAAAAGAGCTATTTTGACCTCTGAAACTAATACAACTGTGCATGTTAACTGTATTTTCTTTAAAATTAAAAACTTAAAAAAAAGAACTATTTTAAACTATAGTTCTGATTTATCATATTTCTTAAAACCATCTTAATAAGTGCCAAATCCAAACTGCTATCTCTCACACAGACATGAGCACAGACACATGAGCATGGAACACTGATGACCCCACTCCCAAATAAAAAACTATTTAACTTAGCCTTTCAAAAAACAAACCCTGTGATTAAATCATTACAATTAATTTTCAAGTGAACTTTCCCTAAATGTCCCTGGTCTCCCCATCCCGCATGCCACGCAACTACTAGAAGGAAAGGAAAGGAAAAGAAAGGGAAAGGGAAATGGAAAGGGAAAGGGTAAAGGAAACAAAAAAGGAAAAAGTAAAAGAAAAGAAAAGGAAAGAAATAAGAAAGGAAAAAAGATGGGAGGGGAGGAGAAGGGACAGGAGGAGAGGACAGGAGGCAAGGGAAGGAAAGGGGAGGAGAGGGAAGAAAGAAAATGAAGGGAAAGGAAAGAAAGAGGAAAGGGAAGAATGAAAGAAAGAATATGGGGGCAGAGGGACTAATGTGTTTACTAAAATATATAAACTTCCCAAAAACCCTTCATATCAGTATGTCACTTAACCAATAAAAAAGTTTTTAACTATTCAAAATTTTTACGTGAAAAACAATTTTACAGGGCATCTGGTTGAGCGTCCAACTTCGGCTCAGGTTATGACCTCAGGTTCTAGGATTCAAGCCCCACATTGGTTTCATTGCTGTTAGCATAGAGCCTGCTTCAGATCCTCTGTCTCCCCACCTCTGCCCCTCCCTAGCTCAAGCTCTTTCTCTCAGAAAATAAACATTAAAAAAAATAATAAACAATTTTACTCTTGGCTTAGTTTGGCAGCCATTGACCAATAGGCCCTCATTATCCTGTGTTCAAAGGCAGACTGAATTCTCCAGCTCCGTTCCAAGTTAGGTAGGACATATAGCCAAGTTCAAGTTGAAGGAATGTGAGCAGTAGGGAAGTGCACTAGCCAGGATCCTCCATGCTCTTTTCACCTGAATGTTTCCTGGGAGATAACCTGGGAACAGCATGAAATAAAGTACCCCAGATTCTTGGGGCGCCTGGGTGGCTCAGTGGGTTAAGCATCCAACTTCCGCTCAGGTCACGGTTTGTGAGTTCGAGCCCTGCATCTGGGTGACAGCTCAGAGCCTGGAGTCTGCTTCGGATTCTGTGTCTACCTTTCTCTCTGCCTCCTTCCCTTCTCATTTACCCTCTCTTCTCTCTCTCAAAAGTAAACATTTTTTTTAAAAAGTATCCCAGATTCCTGAATTACTTACTGAAGAAAAGCTGCCTAATAAGGAATACTCACATTACATTGTCACAGTTTAATGAATTTTTAGTGCATTTTGTCACTGAATATGGGAGCTATTTGGTACTGCAGTTAGCAATGCCTTAATACATGGTGAAAACGTTTGTCAAGGAGAACAGAACAATTCATTTATACCTGCTTTCCAATGGCATTTAGCAATTTTTTCCAATCACCGACAGTACCAAAATAATCTTAGACTAGG